GGGGGGGGGTTAGTACAAGGGGAAGGTAGGATCGACATCGCGCTTCCAGGCCTTGAGTCCACCGTCGATGTTGTAGACTGGAGCGGCAAAGTCTGCGTCGTCGAGGAGGACCAGGGCGCGGCGGGAGGCGATGCCGCGACGGCAGAGAGTGTAGACCGGAAGAGGCGAGGGCGAGTCGGCGCGGGCGGCGGTGCGGAGCTTTGCCATGCCATCGGATGTGGCCAGATCGCGGAGCGGGATGTGAAGAGCATGCTCGAGGGCGCAAATGTCGTGCTGGAGGGCGATGCGGACGTCGAGACAAACGTGCGGGGTGCCTGCGGCGACGACGGCGGCGTAGTCGGCGACGGCGACGTTGCGGGCCTGGTCGATGCGCGGGCCACGAGCGGCGTCCGAGGCCGGCGTGTCCTTGTCGGTGGCGGCGGCGCCGCAAAACTGTACATAGTCGACGAGGCTAGTCACCGATGGACTTTCGCCGCACACGGCACAGTCTTGCGAGCGGGGACGGAGCTTGGCAACGCGGAACAGCATGCGCGACGCGTCAAAGAACAGCAGCTTTTGCGAGAGTGACGGGCCGATGCCGGCAGCGATCTTGACAGCCTCGAGGGCCTGGATGGAGCCGATGATGCCCGGGACGACGCCGAGCACGCCGCCGTCGGAGCAGTTGGTGACCGCCGACGGTGGCGGCGGCTTGGGGTAGAGGCAACGGTAGCACGGTCCGCCATCGCAGCCGTAGACAGTGGCCTGGCCCTCCAGCTTGAGGGCAGATCCGGAGACGAGGACCTTTCCGAGCAAGATGGCGGCGTCGTTGAGGAGGTAGCGGGTGGCGACGTTGTCCGAGGCGTCGAGGATGATGTCGTAGTCGGCGAGGACGTCGAGGGCGTTGGCGGCGGTGAGGGCGAGCTCGTGAGCGACGACCTCGATCAGCGGGTTGTAATCGTCGAGATAGGCCTTGGCCGATGCGGCCTTGTTCATGCCGATGCGCGAGGTGGTGTGCAAGACCTGCCGATGAAGGTTGCTCACTTCGACCACGTCGTAGTCGACCAGCCCCAGCGTCCCGATCCCTGCACCTGCCAGATACAGCGCCGCCGGACAGCCGAGGCCACCCACACCCACCACCACCACCTTTGCCGCAGCCAGCGCCACCTGCCCATTCACCCCAACCTCCGGCACCAGCAGATGCCGCGAGTACCGCTCGATGCCCTCTGCCGGGAGTCCGAGCTTGTATTCGAACGAGTACGACGGGGTGTCCATGATGAGGGTGGAGTGGGGAGTGGGGAGTGGGGGGGGAGGGGGGGAGGGGGAGAGGGGAGGACGGGGGGGGGGGGGAAGGGAGGGAGGGAGGTATGGGGAAGGGGATGAGATCGGGGGATCGGTATGTGGGGTATGGGATCGGATGAAAGGAGTGGATGTAGGAGAGGGGGGGGGGGTAGAGGGAGGGCAGACAGTGGGTGATGATTGATGAGGTTGGAGGAGGGGAGGGAGGGGAGAGGGGAGAGGGGAGAGGGGAGAGGGAGGTATGGGGAAGGGGAGTGGAGAGTCGGGACGGGGGGAA